TCCCCCTGCTTGTGTTCCCTCTCTCGCTGTGTCTCTCTCTGTCAAATAAATAAAATCTTAAAAAAAAAAAAAAAAAAAGGAAATTCTATTACATGCTACAACATGGATGAAACTTGAGGACATTATGCTGAGTGAAATAAGAAATCACAAAAGGACAAATGCTATGTGATTCCACTTACATGAAATATCTAGGTAGTCAAAATCCTGGAAACATAAAGTAGAACGGTGATTGTCAGGGGATGGACAAAGGGAAAGCTGGGGAGTTGTTCAATGGGTTTAGAGTTTCACAGTTTTACAAGATGAAATGTTCTAGAGATCTGTTATCAACGTGAATATAGTTAACACTACTGAACTATACACTTAAAAATATTAAGGGATTAAATTTTATATGTTTTTTTAAGATTCTATTTATTTATTTGAGAGAGAGAAGAGAGCATGAGCAGGGGAGGGTCAGAGAGAGAGGGAGAAGCAGACTCCCCACTGAGCAGGGAGCCCGCCTCGGGCAATTGATCCCAGGACCCTGGGATCATGACCTGAGCCGAAGGCAGATGCTTGACTGACGGAGTCACCCAGGCGCCCCTAAATTTTATATTGTTTTTAAATCACAATTTAAAAAGAAAAAGAGGCCGCCTGGGTGGCTCAGTTGTTAAGCGTCTACCTTCGGCTCAGGTCATGGTCCCAGGGTCCTGGGATCAAGCCCCACATTGGGCTCCTTGCTCAGCGGGGAGTCCTGTTCTCCCTCTCCCTCTGCCCCTGCTTGTGTCCCCTCTCTCTCTGTGTCTCTCTCTGTCGAATAAATAAATAAAATCTTTAAAAAAATAAAAATAAAAAATAAAAAAAAAGAAATGAGCTATCAAGCTTGAAAAGACACAGGAAATTTAAATGTACATTGCTAAGTGAAAGAAGCCAACCTGAAATGGCTACATATTGTATGAGTCCAGATGATATTCTGGGAAAGGCAAAACAATGGAGGCAGTAGAAAGATCAGTGGCTGCCAGGGATTAGGAAGAGGGAGGGACGTATAGGCAGCGCACAGAGGATTTTTTAGGGCAATAAAACTACTCTGTATGGAACTATAATGGTGGAAATTTGTCATTATACATTTTCAAAACCCACAGAACGTCTAACAAGAGTGAACTTTAATGTGAACTATGGACTCTGGGTGATAATTATGTATTGATGAATGGATATTGATAGTAGGGGAACATTTGTATGTGTGGGATGGGGAGGCAGGGAGGGACAGGAGGTATATGGCAACTCTGTTCTTTCCACTCAGTTTTGCTGTAAACTGCTTTAGAAAGGTGGGGGAGCTCTATAAAAATGGCACTTAAATATCAACCAAAGCAAAATACTGACTCTGTGAAGCTCAGGGAAAAAAAAGCACTCCAAACAAAGTAGACACTAGTACAAAAATTCTGATGCAGAAATGATTTGATACTATGTCCATGGAACAGCAAGGAGTCCTGAATAGCTAGAACAAAATTAAGTAGAAAGTGTAGGAGATGAAGTCAGAGAAAGAAAAAGACAAATACAAAGACTTGTTGCCCAAATTAAGGAGTCATTCTGTCCACCTCTGTTTTCTCTGTAAATATGGTCACATAGATCTGTAAGGAATACTATTTTAAAACATGTTTTTCTTAACATTTTTAATACAGTAAATATGGTCATACTTATAGAGGATTTATTTGATGAAACAAAAAACACCAATACATAATTTTTTTTTAGATTTTATTTATTTATTTGACACAGAGAGAGAGATAGCGAGAGCAGGAACACAAGCAGCGGGGGAGAGGGAGAGGGAGAAGCAGGCTTCCCGCCGAGCAGGGAGCCCGATGCAGGGCTCGATCCCAGGACCCTGGGATCATGACCTGAGCTGAAGGCAGACACTTAATGACTGAGCCACCCAGGTGCTCCCCAATATATAAAATTTAATACAATTTTTATTTAATCCCTACTGTTAATCAGACACTGTGCTACATATTGAAGATATAAAAAAATAGGAGGGGACTATAGCTTACCAGGGGTCTTATACTAGAAAGGGTGAACATGAAATAAATCCTTTTATATTAAAACTAGGTACTCTCTCTGAAATGTGAAAAAGACAAACTTAGGTCATAAGAACAAAATTCTATTTTACCAAATAACATAAAACTCCATTTGAAGAGACTAAACAGACTGAAAATAGAAATTACTCAAATCTTTTAAATTTATCAATGAAGAATTTATAATAGGATAACATTGTTATATAGTCTGGCTTTCATCAGTTTCACCTCTTCCTAATAACTATATTCTCCGAAAACAATATATTTTTTCAATCTTCCCAAAAGTTGAACCCTTGAAAATAATCAGCTTACATTTTTTCCCTCAGTGTTATAAAACTTTTCCTAAGCCATAGCAATGATGAATCTGAAAAAATAGTAATAGTGGGCTATTGTAGGATTATAGTTCTACTGCTACTAGTTTTTCTTCTACATTTGTTAAATTCTTGGTTGCCAGTCACCCAATTTCCTTTAGGGTAGGTATAATTTCTAATAGCTCCTGGGCTCATGCTAACACTTTTATACATCTTCTATATTTCTTTATAAATTATGTAATATTAAAATATCTATGGGCGCCTGGGTGGCTCAGTCGGTTAAGCGTCTGCCTTCGGCTCAGGTCATGATCCCAGCATCCTGGGATCGAGCCCCGCATCAGGCTTCCTTCTCAGAGGGAAGCCTGCTTCTCCCTCTCCCACTCCTCTGCTTATGTTCCCTCTTTCGCTGTATGTCTCTCTGTCAAATAAATAAATAAAATCTTAAAAATAAAATATCTAAATTGACAGCATTTGATAATCTCCATAAATATTAATAACACTGATTAAAAAAATGAACATTTGTAAACAAAGAACTAAAGGATAAGTATTTTGCCATTTTGTTCCTAAATCCAAATTATGATATTAATAATATCAAATATAAATCCTTGGGATGGTTGCTTATATCCCAAGAAAGAATTACTATTGATTCCTTTAAGTCAGTGGTTAAACTGTTTTTTAGAATTTTTCACAAAGTACTTCTGACATGGTGAAATATTTTTAATTTAAATATAAAATATACTTTAAAAATACATTTGCAGTCATTTAATAACCTGTCATACATACACAGACACACAGTGCTTTCTTGTGTTGTCAGGGTATCTATCATTAAACAAAACTAGAAAAAATACGCTTTTTGTTTATATTACTACTTCTGGCAAAGAAGTTTAATTAAGAAGATTTCAGCTCTACATTGATCTTTCTTAAATTTAAGGCTTAAAACTTTCTGTTCACATAAAATTATACAAAAAAGAACACTATTAAATCACACCTGTAGAACATTAAACACCAGCTTAAACTCAGCCTTATCAGTTTGGTACATGTTATCCTCACAACTAATGGTAATGTAATCATAATACCTTATAAACAGTTTTAAGAGTGCATCTTATATGTAGGGTATTTTTTATCTGACATGTATTTCTCTTAAGAAATATAAGTGGTTGTTAGATACTATTTCAACTTGAAACAAAACTTTACTTCCAATCATTTTCCAAGAGTCTAGATCACCTTAATGGAAGTATTTCCTGAGACTGCAAGATGGACTTGAAAAAACAAACAAAATGCTGATATCATTGGCAAATACTCATCAATCAAGATTTTCTCAAGACTGTGCAACAAAAATAAACAAATGTTGAGGGTGATATGAAACTGCAACTATCATCTGTAATTCCTAATTTCAAGTTTTTGTATTAAGCAAAACAGCCTCACTAATTTCAATAAGAGATGATATAAATTTGATAAATAATATAAATTGAATCTTATCACTTTATACTTATATCATTTACCGCTTTTCTATATTAGAGGTTAGCATGAGATTTCATTTGAAAAGACTTCCTAACGCAAATAATATTTGGAAATTACTGCTTTAAGCTACAAATGCCAATAGAATTTAAATGACAGCATACCAGTTTGGCTTTAGCTACACATTTCCTACCTTACAGAGTGAAGCAATGCAATACGTTTGGTTTTTCAATTCTATTAGGACTAGATTATCTGATCATTCAAATTCAAAAAAATTTGCAATACTGAAATGAGTTTTGCTTCCTAAGCCAATTTGATACTGCTAAAAGTATTTAAAAATGTTGCTTTGAAAGTAAATATAAAGGTTCCAATGATGTCTGTTTCTTCCCTGATACTTCCTTTCACTATAAGAACCTGATTCCGTCTTGCCTTTTACTGTCAAATAGAAGAACAATACTGAAGAAAATGAAGGTCCCCTTGTTTCCTTCCAGCTCCAATAGTTTTGAGCTTCTCCTATTTTACAGAATAGAATCTCTAAAAAACATGCAAGAAATGTGGATACATTGAAACTACAAAGGAAAATATTTTGTCCTAATGACACACAACAGACATCATTTACTCAACTTCCTCTCAAATATAATTATAAAATATAAATAAAACAAGGAAAGATGAATCAATGACAAATTCACTTGAAAGTCAATTTTTCAAGAAAAATACCAGGTTATCATTCTACATAGATCTGTAGATCTGTGTTTCATTCCATATAGCATATATGTTCATATAAAGCAGAGATGGAAAAGTATGCCCTGTGGGCCAAAACTTGCTGAAGCTAAGAATGGTTTTTACATTTTTAAAGGGTTGTAAAATAAGAAAACAAATATGCCTACGAGCCACTGACAGAGACCAATGAATACATCCATTAAGTTAAAAATTACACATTTTAATATAATAAAAATTGTGTCTATTACCTGCTCATAGTTTAAACGTTGAATTTCTGAAATTTCTTTAGGCTTTGCATCAAGCATGTAATCTCCTGTAAAAAGAAATTGTGAAATTGTCTTTTTAAAATATTACTTTTTCATTACAAAGGTAATGATTTTAATTATAAATTGTAGAAATAAGTGACACAAAACTGACCCCCAGTTCTACTCAGAGAAAGATCAGTGTTAACTAATTGCTATAATCTCAAATATTTTTTCAATGTACATACTATAATGCTTTTGAACTTACTTCTTCTACTTTCCAATATATTTGAGCATTTTTCCATGTCACTACAATAAAGCTCTAAAAGGCTGTACCAAGTCTCATTGCTATCAACAATATAAACTGCTACCTCATTACTTTCTCAAGAATGGGTGTTACTGGGTCACCTGGGTGGCTCAGTAGGTTAAGCAACTGCCTTCGGCTCAGGTCATGATCTCAGGGTCCTGGAATTGAGCCCTGTAGGCTCCCTGCCCTGCGGGGAGCCTGCTTCTCCCTCTCCCTCTGCCTGACACTCCCCCTACTTGTGCTTTCTCTCTCTCTCTGTCAAATAAATAATTAAAAATCTAAAAAAAACCAAAAAACCAACAGCTGTTATCAGTGTTTTAAATGTTTGCCATTATAAGAAGTACACAAAATATTTTTTGCCCTTGGGAAATCGGTATATATGTATTTTTGTTATCACCCTTCCCCCCCATCTTTTTAATATATGTATGACTTTTAGTATAGATGGCACCTTTTAAATGTATGTA